ATTAGTTTATTAATTAATCCATTCCCCTTCTCAATAGTACATATCCCAATATCAAATTCTTTGTCTATTCCTCGATTTTGAAAATACCCTTTTATATTGATTTTTATACTTTTCAATATCTCTTGAAAATACTCTTCTTTTTCTTGTGCCATTGACACATATGGTACTATGTATATCATTTTCTTTTGTGTTTGGCAGTATCGCTCTATCATCAGAATTTCACTCACTAACGTTTTCCCTGAACTTGTCGGTGCACTATACACTAAATTCTCTGTACCTTCTCTAACCCCTTTTGTTTTTAGACACTCAACTTGCCACTCAAATAACTCTTGTATCCCTTTCTTCTCATACTCTTTTCTCACACTCTCTATCTTAATATATCTCTCAATCCCTCGTCTTCGTATCTCCTCTATCTTCTCTTTCTTTCCCTCTCTTCCTCTTGGACGAAGAAGTCTTTCTCCCTCTTCTTCTTCTTTCTTTTCCTGTCTTCTTTCACTTTTCGTCATTATTGTTTGTGGCTTCTTTAAAAATGGCGTTTCATATCTACTCATATATCTCGTTAATATCTCTTCTTCTCTTCTTTTATTATATTCTTTCCTTTCTTTCATTTCTTCTTTTTTTTTGTTCTTTTTTCTTAAAAATCCTTCAATTATCTCGAACAAATATTCAATTAATAAAAAGATAACAAAAAAAACATAATGTTAAGGAATGGAATTTCTTTCAAAATTCCAATTAAACTCGAGTTCAAAAATTGAGAAATAGCAAGTCACTACTTCTCAGCGCTTGGATTTAGTTTTAAACTAGCAATCATTCCTCTTCCTTTGCAGTCATTAAAAGAATATTGCCCTAGCGCAAGGATAATTTTTTACTTTTTTTGTTCTCTTTAAATACTTATTCCACGTCAGCGAAATTATGAGTAGTTAAAGAATTATTAAAAATACTTATTAATTTATTATTTCTTTCTTAACTTTTTTTAGAATAAATAATTTTTTATTAAATAATTTATTATTCAAATTTATTAAATATATAGTTTGTACTTTCTTTTTTTTTTTAATGATTATTGAACTTTCTTCAAATTTTTTCTTTATTAATTTTTTTAGTGTTTATTTCTTGTTTAACGCAACTTATATGTAAGTTATATTTTTTTGGTGTTAGTTTTTAATTTGTTTTGTATATCTTTTTGGTTGTTATTTTTTGGTTTGTGCTTTGTATTTTTTTGAGTATCCACACAATTAATATAATATGGTAAATAAAAATCATTTCATTTTTTTTATAAATTGTCTATTTTATTTTTGGCTAATAATTAATAAGTACCTACAAACTTATGAATGAATTTATGAAGAATTGAGGTACTGATATGGTTATCTCATTTTAATACTTTTTTAGTATTTTTATATGTTTAAAGGAATAGATAAACTGAGACTAAACTATGCCAGTGAAGAAGAGTTAATTAGAATGATATATTTATTATATTAATTTACATTATATGTTAGTAAATTTGATTTTATATTTTTATATCCTTTTTGTTTGGTATTTTATTTTTAATTCTATTTTGAAAAACATCAAATATTAAAAACATTACTCGTATATATCTCATATATCTTTTTATGTAATTCAATAACTCTAATGTAAATTCATACAAATAATACTATTTCTAATTCAAGAATTGAAAGTATTGTATTTTTTAAACAGAAGTAAGTTACAAATCAATTATTTTTTATTTATAGTAGAGACAAACAAATATTACAAGTTATAAGACTTTTGATAAAAATTATTGAGTATTAAAATTTGGTTAAATAATCTCATTTATAATGAAATATGATCAAATTTACTATATGAAGATGGTTTATTAATTTAAACTGTATCAAAATTTTTAATAAGATATTTATAATATAATGAAGTATCAGAATATATATATAAAATAAATCAATTTATAATAACAAAACATAAGAATGAATTATTTTTTTGAAAAGTTAAAAGAAAGAGTATGAATACTCTAGTTTAATAATTCAAGAAATAAACACAAATAAGTATAAATGAGATGAAACATATTATCTTTAAAGTAAATATATCAATATTGATATATTAAGATATAACAAAGTTGATCAATAAAATATGTTAATAAATTGTAAGGGAACAACAGATGATTCAAAATAAATAAATTCCATTTTACACGTTTTAAAAGAAATATAATATACTTATTATTAGTTTTTTTCATTTACTTGCTTTATCATTATTGATAATATTAATTTAAATATTAATAGTCTTATAAAAATAAAAATTGACACATAATTCATTTAAAGTTGAAACTTTAGTAGGTTATAATAAATAGGATAAGTATTACTAATTCATTCAAATCAATTTTTGAAATATAAAAATGTTTTTCATAGATACAAAAGAGAATAAAAGAATTTATGAAATATAGTAGTTTATTTGTAAAATATATAAATAAGTAATGGTTTTTTTAAATAGTTAACCAGTTATTCATAAATAATTTTGTTTAAGATGTTATAAAATTATTTCATTTCTATACAATACTACTTCTTATCGTATATTTTAATACATCTTCTTAGTTCAATTATTAATTAAATTTTACTAACAATTCAACTGTTTTCTTGCAATTGATTTAATGATAAAGCAAAACAATAAACAATAAGAGTAACATTATTTATTTAAAAAAAATACAATGGTATTATTTAAGAGAATTAAATAAAACCAAATTTACAATAATAATTCAATCAAAAAAAATCCATAGAAAAAAAATAAACCATTAAAATAAATAGTCAACAAGTACCAGAAATCAAATTTAATTTTCAGCTTCTTCTACGGTTTTAGTTACGAGACCTTTGAAACTAGCAACTGGAACATATGAAACGAGAGTATAGAATTTACCTTCTTCACCTTCAATTGGGAGTCTAGCCATTCTAACTCGAATTCTGTCAGCAACTGATCTAATACCTTGGCTCCAAATGAATTGATTTAATCCCATATCGAATTTAACGACGTGTGTTTTCATAGTTTTAATAGCAAGGAATCTAATGATTTTAATTGCTTTTGGTGCTCTCTTCTTGAATGATTCTTTGTGAAGATAAGCATGCATATGAATGGTCATTTCACGGGTAATTGGAGCCATTTCTTTTTGCTTAATTTCCTTGGCTGGTTTCTTGTTAGCAGCCTTGGCTTTTTTAGCTTCTTTACGAGCTTTATTAGCCTCTCTGTATTTTAAAACACGTGGATTAGTGGTCTTGGAAACAGCCATCAACACAGATGTTTACCCTTTTTTAGTTCTTTCACTTTAGGTTTTACCAATTTTATTATTTTATTATTTTTTTAATTAATTGTAAAATGTTATATATAACATAAAAATTATAAAAAAATTGAAATAATAAAAAAGAACTTAAAAAAAATTGAAAAGAAAAACTAAAAAATAATATCAGAATTATGTTCCTTGAAATATTGGCTCAAACTCATTTATTAGAACACTCCCCATCTACTAATATCCTTCAATTATTACCACTTCAGTCAAAAGCAGAAGTGTTAACAACTATTTTTAGGGAATTACTTGATAATAAAGAAAATTCACAAGCTATGATTAAAGCTAAACCCCATTTACTTTTTTTCTATGAATTAATTGGGTCATGTTTCTCTTTACCATTATCACATTCAATATTAACTCAACGTGGATTAGATATTTATAAAAATTGGACTAATGAAAAAGGATTTAGACCAAAACCAGTAGATGATGATTTTAATGGATTCTTAATTATTATTATTAAACAAATGTCTCAATTCTTTGAAAATGAACCTACTACAATGATGGAACAAGAAGATATGAGAAATTCTCTTTCTGTTCAAATATTATTATTTATAAGACAAATTTATGTTACTTATCATGACTCTTTCTCACCAGAAGTTAATGATACTATTGTAAGAGTATTAATTGGTATTTGTAAAAAATATTTTGAACATTTAAAACTCCAAGAAAATTCTAATGAATTCCATGCTGAAGTTGAATTATCTCTTTATATTCTTCATGAAAGTTGGATGCTTTCAGAAGAAATGAATATGGATTTATGGGAAGTTATTTGGAGAAATTATTCTGTATGGTCAAATGAAGTTGAAACAATATCTCAATGGTATGGTCTTCAACAATCATTAACAGAAACTGTATTAAATAATATTGGAAAGAATTTAGATACAGTAGAATTTGAAGTTCAATGGTTACCTTGGCATAATGAACATGTATTAGATAAATTTATTATGAATTTATCAACTAAATATATTAATTATGCTTTTATTAGATTCTCTAGATTTATTGGTAATTGTATTACTAAATCACAAAAAATTGCTTTGCATGCTACTCATGCAAATAAACTTCTTATTGAAACTTTTTATGATTATCCTGCTGAGGTATGTGATGGAAATATTGTATTAAAAATTTATGGTGATTTCTTATTCCAAACAATGGTAATTAATAGAGAAAAATATGATGATACTGTTAATATGGCTTGTGACACTATATTAAAATTATTTGTTAATTTTGCTCCTAGAACTACTTTTAAAACAGAATATGTATCTAATCTTTATGCTGGATTAATTAGTATTTTAGATACTCCTAATCCTGTTTCTATTACTGTATTATCATATCCATTAATTCTTGATTTACCACTTCCAGGTGTTGAAATGTTATATCCACATTATATTAGATATATGTATGAAGTTATTACTAAAGTAAATCCTCAACCTTTATTAAGAGCTAATTTATACCAAATACTTGCTAAAATAATTCCTAGAATGACATTTTATGCTTCAAGACCACTTCCAATTGTAACTAATGAAATTTTTAAAGACTATAGTCAAATGGTTAATATGGTAGAAGAAATATTATCTAAACAATTAAAAGATGAAAATGATTTACAACTTGTTATTGATTTATTTGAAGTATCAAGAATTTATCTTTCTGAAATAAAGTCAATTTCATTTACTGAACTATTATTGTCATTATTAACTAGACAATTCTCACAATGGACTAATTCTACTACTTTAATTAAAATTCCACAAATTGGATCATCATTTTATAAATTATATCAAACCTCTGCTTCATTAAATTTAAAGAATAATAAATATCTTGTTAATCTTTCAGATACTTTAATGAAATGTTATTGTAATTTAATTACAGAAGCTAATTTCCAAATTAGTAAAGTAGGTGCATTTGTTATTGATATGAATCTTTTACTTAGATATATCTTTGGACTTATTGGGTATGTTCCAACTGTATCATTTGGTAATTATTCCCGTGTCATTGATCGTTTAAATATTTTATCTAATGAAGCAAGTCATGAAGTTTCTGATAGTATTACAATGTTTAATAAAAATATTACAATTAATAAAGTTAATACTATTCTTTATAGTCATTCTCCAATTTGTGAATTATCTATTGGTATAAGTGCACCTGAATTACTTCAGTACCATTCTATTTTTGTTTCTAGTGAAAATTCTCTTGTTACTTTAATTGATCTTCCAGCATTTTTCTTACAACCTGAATTACCAATGCTTATGATTATTAGAACTTCTCATTCTCAAACTGTTTGTGGTGTTCAATTAATGCCACCTGTTCCACTTCCTGATATTCCAGAACAACAAAATGTTACTGGTAAGGAAATAACATTTGAAGTAAGTAATAATGGATATTATAAATTTAAAGGAATTGAAGGTATTTCTAAAATTACTGATGTTAAACCTTATAGTGAAAAAGCTCAACAACTTATTAACTCACTTAAATCAGTGAAAAGTGATTTAATTCCTATTGATCCTTATCAAGATATTCCAACTATTGATATTAATACTACAACATTCCCTACACCTCTTTCTACATATACTGTAGCTAAACTATGTTGTGCTTTAAATGTATTCCCAAATACAACAACATTAAAACAAATACCATTTTCACAAGACTTTATTTCTAAAACATTAGTAGAATTAGATAGAATTGCTACTAGACCACAATACATTGTTTCATTAGTTAATATTAAAGATGAACAAATTGTTGATAATACAAAAGAATTTGAGTGGTTTGTACAACGTTTAGGATGGATTGTTAAAGTAGCTGATGGATCATATAATTTATTCCCAGAATCAATCATGAATCTTAAACAAGACATTGTTGCATTACCAATGGTAAGTACTCCAACTGAACAAATTATTTTCTGTCCAAATTCTAGAATAAAGAAATTAGAAACTCAACAAAAGTTATGGAAGTTATCTGATGTTATTATTTTATGGGGAAATTGTTCTGAAACTACTCAACAATGGGCTATGGATTCAATAGTTCAAGGTAAGCAATTTATTGTTATTGAACCACTTCCAGATGGTAGATATGCTATTTATAATGAAGATATTCTTGGTGTTGATTATGTTGTTCTCAGTGCTGAGGGTTTAATTACTTTTGTTACTGGAACTATTCGTTCTATTATTCAACACTCAGAAACAACATATTCTAATGCATCAAGAAGACAAGGAATTATTAGCCATGTATATAATACAATGGCATCACCATTAACTCCAGTTAATTTTGTTTTCGATGCAAATACATTTAAACTCCCACCTGCACCAATAATCAGTTTTGGACCATCAGATTTTAAAATACAAAATGGATGTAAGAGTAAAGCAGTAATGGCATGTTTGAATCGAACCTTTGAAAACAATCAATCAAACCAATAAAACAATTATTTTGGTTTTTTTAAATTTTATTTTTTAGTATTTAATTTTTTATATAAAACAACAAAAAATAAAATAACCAAATAAAAATTTGTATAACATCAAAATATTTACTTGGTCGGTCTCATTTTACCATTAGCAGCCATATTCTTCATTATAACATCAACAGCCAACATAAATACTCTTTTGATATTTGAACCATCAGTTGCATTTGTTGGGTTTGTATATACTTTCTCATTTACTGCTCCCTCAATGTTTGCAGTTCCATCAGCACCAGAAATATTCATTTCTTCAGTTTGTAACTTTCCAGTAAATAATTGTTGAATATATTGTGCACCCATTACAGCATTATCTCCTCCAGTATATTCAGGGAAAATTGTATTTAATGGAACTTTAGTTAATTTTTCTTCAAAAAGATCCATTTTATTTAAGAAAATTAATTTAACAGCACCTTTTAAAAATTCATTTGTCATAATATCTTTAAAGACAGCAATAGATTCAGTTAATCTAGAGGTATTACCATCTTCATATAATTTCATATCATATTCAGCAAGTGATGTAACAAAAATAGCACAATCTACATCACTAAAGAATGATACCCATTTCTTACGTTCAGATCTTTGTCCTCCAACATCAATAAGATGGAATGGAATATCTTTAACAACAAAATCATATTCATGAATACCAGTAGTTTTAGTTCTATTATGAATTAAATCTTCTTCTGTTGGTACATAATCTTCCATTGCAATTCTTTTAACATTTTCAAATAAATATTTAGCACAATCTGGAAGTTGGAATTTAGCAGATTCTTCATATGTAGCTTGAATTCCTTCATCTGCCCAAAGTGCTTCAACATCACCAACAAGTTCTGGTGAAAATGGAAGAGTAACAGGGTCTTCTGTAGTAAATTCTTTACTTTTAGGTTGGTATTTCATTGGATGATTTAAAATAGCTGATTGTTCAATTAATGTTCTCATACAAGTAACAACATTACTACAAATAGAAGATTTATGAGTAGCTCTTTCTTGTTCTGGGAATCCTCCTCCAAATAAAATTTTTAATTGTTTTGCAATAGTTGATTTACCACTTTCTCCACTACCAAGTAACATAACAGTAATTGGTTTACTTTTAGCCATTTCAACAATTTGTTTATCAATGCTGTTATCTTTACTTTGTCCGCAACCCATATTTTTACTTTTTCCAGTTCTTTTTTTTTTAATTTCTTACTAATTCAAACCTTGTTATTCTATTCCTCTTTTTTTGGGGTTTTTTAGCTTCAATTTCTTTTTTTTTTCTATTTTATTTTTTTTTATCTTTTTGATTTTAATTTTTTTTCTTAATAAACAACTAACTCATTTTTTTTTTAATTTTTTACTATTTGTTTTCTTTTTTATGTCTTTTCTTTGTAGTATTGAAACTATATTTTTAAAGAACTAGGGTTTTTATTTTATGGTTTTTTTAAATTTAGAATTATTACTAAAAATTATTTATATCATTTGAATAAAACATATTTAATTTTAGAAAAGATTCTATTAAAAATTAATTATATGATAAGCGTTTCACATTTTCACATATGATTGATGCTTTGGAACATACACAAAGTCTTTTGGAGCTGGTCCAAGAAACATCTCTGTAATTTTAATATAATCTTCTAATCTATCTGATGTTAATAATTTTTCCATATCATCCCGATAACACATTACTCTATCATTTCTAACTTTAATTGAAATCTCTTGATTAGTTTCTATTACACAATGAACTGGTACATATCTTGTCATAAATGTTAGATGATGACACATAAATTCTCTTGTTTTACTAATTCCTTGTGCATCACTTCCCCAATGAGAAAGTCCATCTAATGCATATTGTCTTAAAATATCAAGACGTTCTGATGATGATATATCCCAATCTCTTTTTTCTTTAATCTCTGTATAAATCCATGGTTTAATTAATGCCCCTCTTCCAATAGCTACAGTAGCAACACCACAGTCTAATGCTTTTTGATAATCTTTATATCCATAAATATCTCCAACTCCTATAACTGGACACTGAGTAATTGTTGTAGCTTGTTTAATAAAGTCCCAATCTGCTGATTTAGTATAACGTTGGTCTCTAGTTCTTCCATGAATACTTACCATTGCCGCTCCATAATCTGCACAATTTGGTAATAAAACGTCTTGAATTGTATTACTACTTTTTCCAGTTCTAACTTTAATTGCTACTGGTCTTTCAGTAACACTTCTCATAGCATGAAGTAATGACTCAATTCTTTTTGGTCGTTCAATTAATTGAGCACCCATTCCTTTTTTATATACATAATCAATTGGACAAGCACAATTTAATTCATAAAAATCACAATCAACAGAATTTAAGACTTGACATGCTTTTGCTGCTAACATTGAATTACCAACACATAACTGAATTCCAAATATATCTTCTGATGAGTCTCTTTTAACTAAAGCCCATTCACTTGTTTTACCTTCAACTAATGACTCAGCCATAATCATTTCTGTCATAGTAACATCACATCCAAATCTTTTAACGACTTTTCTAAATGGTAAATTACCAAAAGTACATAATGATGGAAGAATTAACTTTCCTTTTAAGTCAAGTATTTTCTTTTCTGGAACAGGAAATTCTTCAGGTATTTTAAAATCAAATTTATTAGTTCTTAATACATGAAGTGTTTCTGGTTTTTGAGTATTTAATGGTTCTTTAAAAGGATGTAATTTCATTAGCTCGTTGTTTGTTATTAACTCTCCTTGTTCATTGATATGAGACTTATACCATTCACAAGTATATCCGTTTGGACAAAATCCATATTCTTTAAATAATGGGCAAATTCCTTCTAATAAGTCAGTTCGTTTAGATAAATATTCTTTAAGGTCATGTGAATATTTACAATTCTCTCTTTCACATTTACCAGTTTTCATAAAATTTAGACAAATTCCCTCATTTTGTTCTTTAAGTATTTTCTTTCTTTTTTTCATTGATTTCTTTGATAATGGGTTTGGTTGTTGTTTTCTTTTTTCTTTTACCTCTTCTACTCTTTCTTGACAACAAGATATTTGTTCATTTGTTGAAGGAGATTGGTTATTGTCTTCCATGTGATTTTGTGTTTGATTAACTCTAAGATAGAAAAATGAAAAGAAACCCTATAGTCACATTTTTGAATCTTTGAAAGTATTATTGTTGTTCTAATTGTCCTTTAATCTCAACAAAAATCTTAATTTTTTTTATAAAGTTAAATCGTTTCAATGAAATAAATTAATTTTATTCATAACCATCATCCTCTTCACTTTCTTCTTTAACTTCTTCTTCTACTTTTTCATTTGGAATTTTTTCTATTACTTTTTCTAATATTTTATATATCTCTTTAAATGTTGGTCTTTTTTGTGGTTCAATATCCCAACATCGACATATCATTTCCCAAATATCATTTCCAAGCTCATCATCATTTTCTTCTATTTCTGTTGGTTTTGATACTTCTTCTTGTGTTTCTCCATATCCATCATCTTCAGATATTTCTTCTTTGCATGTACCTCTATTTATAGTTTGAATTGGATGTTTAAGATAATCAGGTTTTTCTAAACGAAGACCAGCATTAACAGAAGGTATAACATCTTCTTTTTTTAAAGCAGAGTATGGAAGTTTTCCTTTTGTAAACAATTCCCATAAAGTAATTCCATATGCCCAAACATCATTTTTTATTGTAAAAATTCCTCTTGCAGCTGCTTCTGGTGCAGTCCATCTAATTGGCATTGTTTTAGCTGTAGATTTAGCTGCATATTCTCCAGTTTCAGATTTACGGGATAGTCCTAAATCTGCTACTTTACCACGAATTCCTAATTTGTCATGAATATAAAGAACATTTCTTAATGCAAGGTCTCTATGAACAATTTTTTGTGATTCGAGATAAGCCATTCCAGAAGCAACATCCATAGCACATCTTACATAATCTTTAAATGTCATTGTTTTAGATTCAGGATATTTTCCACCTTTATTTTGGACATAGTCTAATAAACAACCTTCAGCTAAATCAATGACCATAAATAAACTTTCTTCATTTTTATATAAACCATACATAGTTATTACATTAGGGTGTTTCATTAATTGTGTAACATATGCTTCTTTAATTATTTCTTGTAATTTTTCTGGTTTATCTAATGCTCCGTCTATAGCTTTCATTGCAACAGGAGTAGTTCCAAGCCACATTCCTTTACAAACAACTCCAAATGCTCCATTTCCTAATTTTTCACCTACTTCACATTCTGTAAGATAATTAAAATTTTTAAGAGCATCTTCTCCGAATTTATTATTTTCATCATATATATCAGACCTTTTAGAAATTAATTCAGCACTAACAACTGGATCAATTTTTAATTCTTCACAAATTGGTTGGTCAAGTAAACAAAATGTGTCATCTGTATTAAACCCATTTTCTAAAAGAATCTTTGAGATTTCATCATAATCACATTTTGAAATTTCAAGTGTTTTTTGTACCTTTTCATCTAATTTAGGTTTTTCTCCTACTTCAACCGATACACACGAAACTCCATTTACAATAACACGAGTTGAACTACTTACTAATGAGTTAATTGAAAAGAGTTCATCAAAGCTTAATACTGAAATATTTTTATCAAATGATCCAAAAGCAAAGATAGAATCTTTAAGTAAACAAATACCACAATCTGGAGCAATAAATTCTATTCCATTATCTTTTTTATATAATGATTTAGTTTTAGTATCAAGAATGTATATTGATGAGTTTCTTTTATATGCACCTAATCTACCACCAACAAGAACTGCAACCTTTTTACTTTCAACAAAAACAGATTGAAGGTTAAGTAAATCGAGATTAATTGGAGAAGGAATAGTATCCCATTTTGACTTATAAATATCATAAATATAAATATTCTTATTACTAACATTATTATCTCCTTTACCACCAATAATGTAAATAAGTCCATTGTCATCAATAAAAGAAGTATGTTGTGCAATACTTCCAAATGGTAATTTTTGTATTTTAACATCATCAGTCTTAGTGTCATAACTATGTTATTAATTTTTATTATTAAATTAAATTAAGTATTATCAAACATTATAAAAGAATCACATGGAACTCCTTTTGTTTTTCCTTCAATTGGAACTAATCCTCCAATAATATAAATTTTACTATTTTTAATAACTGATGTATGAAAACTTCTTTTAGATAAAGAAGGAGAATCAAAATGAGTTACTTCGAATGTATTTACATTAATCTTATCAATACCTGAAATACCATCTGGATTATTTTTATTAGTTCCTCCAATAACATAAATTATTTCATTATCAAAAGTAATTGTATGATATTCTCTTCCTAATTTAAAATTCTCTAAATCACCAAGTTTTCTCCAAACTAAATTTGAAATATCAAATTGCCATAAATTTTCAATAAATTGACCTGTTTGTATTTTTCTTAATGATCCTCCTTGAAGATAGATATATCCATTTCCAGAACATAGTTTAGGTGAAATGGTTTTAAAGTCAGGATGTTCGTTATTTCCTTCATTTGGTATTTCAACTATTTTTTTAATTGTAACTTCAGACATCTTCACTTTGTATAATAATTTCACTTTTTTAAGATGACTTTATATTGGTACTAACTTTTTGTTGTTTTTACTGAAGAAAACACTTTAAATTCCTTCTTTTTCAACAAAAATAACTCATTGTTATAAAACAAAAAAGAAATAACACAATAATAAAAAAATTGTTTTAGAAATGAAGTTTCATCAAAATAATCAGCGAAATCGGGAAATTAGGAAAATATGATATGTGATATGTTGTGATGAGTAAACTGAACTCAAAATATCAATATATTACTCTTTGTGAAATGCCTGAAATCAAAACTGTTATTGAAGCACCAAATGATAATAATTCACCACCTATTGGAATATATGGACACAGTACATGTTATGGAGATTGTAAAATGTATGTTTATGGAGGATGGATAGATTCAGAAAAGAAGTATAATAGTTGTTTGTATATTTTTGATTTCGAATCATTAAAATGGAAAAAAGTAAAGTTAGATATACAATTTGAACGAGCATATCATACAGCCACTTATTACAAAAAAAAAATTTATTTAGTTGGTGGGTTACAATATGAAGAAATTATGAAAGGAATTGATGTTATTGATACAGAAAAT